TTACTGAAGCTCAGTTTTGGAGAACCATATTTCAGTTTAAAGCCTTGCTGTTCATTTTTAAATGCTTTTCTCACAATTTTCCATTTACCCTTAAACTATAAGTAGTTTTATACATTACCTGCTGCAAGTTCAGCTGTTTCATCACAGGCAAAAGGATTCCATCTATCTTTGTCCTAGTCCAGCCAAAGTGATCCTTGCAGAATGTGCAGAAAGTTAAGGAACTTTATAAAATGGCTATTACTAGTATTTTGTAAACACATACAATGAAAATTCCTCAAATAAACAATGTCTGGAGGAATGTTGCTCCACTTCAAAACTTTTTCTACTACAAAATCAGAGAAAATACTCTATTATAACAGCTGACTTATGTGGATGGTTCCAGTACTACGCTACACATCACAATCACACTGTTACACCTCCATTAGTTGCAGAACTTCTCTAATACCAACACTTCCAAAAGCATGTCTCAGGGAAGACAGAACTCAGTTGGGCTATAGGGCACTGCCACAACACAAAATGCCTATAAAGAAACATTTTTACACTTGCACACACTGAAGTTTCATTTACTGTTTAAAACACTATTAGCTCTGCATGTATTGCCAACTACTTTTCAACAATATGCTGCAGCTCAAACTGTAACAGGTGCAAAATATAGACATTATTGGAAGAAATACAGGGAATAACTAGGGATAAAGTACAGACTGAAACACCATTTCTGACTAGGTTTTGAGACTGATTTATGAAAAATTGTTCAAACAATCCCACTCTATGTCTAGAAACAGGTATAGGACAGTTTCAGAGGCATCATATCACAACAAACTAGTCTGTCCAGCTATGAGACTCTGCATGCAAGAGGGAGGGCAGAGTAGCCCTGACTGCCACACATGCATGGCTGCCTTTCCTTCCATTCCAGAGCTAGTGTCACTTTAGGAGAGCGAATGTAGACGGGGCTTGGGGTCCCTTACACCAAAGGATGTTGAGAACTTGCCACTCCATTATAACTCACTAATGAGCCTTATGAACTTTGAGTACTTTTACCTAAAAAGCCATACCATAAAAAGGATATTCTGTGATCAGCTCTACATCAGGCTTCCCCCAGGTGAAGGAACTCCTTGTCTCATCCACCACAGGCTTCAGGTATGCTTCTGCCACTGCTGGATTTGGGAAACCTGAAGAAAGCTGCAGCTCCCGCAGCTTCTTCTTCACCTTGGTATCATGTGGATTAGGTCTCAATTTCTTATTCTTCTGAGCCTCATTCCACCACTCCCTGAAAAAAACAGAGAAAATTATTAATTTGCCTCTATGAAATAAAATTTGAAATATCAAGAGCCACCATGCTAATTTCAATAGCCTTAGT